CTCCAGCATTACTTAATTCCCTGATAACCACATCACCTATTTAAGGCTATTTTTATTAGTCACTCTATTTTTGTAGGTCGTGACTTTACGCCACTTGACTACAAAGAGCTCGGGAAGAGACATGATCTATTTGATATCCCGTAAGTAAAATAACTTTAAATTAAAATTGATATTTTAATATTAAAAGCTCAATTCAATATTCATAGTTCTGCTGCCCAGTGCTCCGGAGAAGGTTTCTATTATCTCAAAGGGGAAGCTGCTGTACTAGAGCTAGCACTGATACAATATGCCATGAGTAAAGCCATCAAGAATGTGAGCTTTTCCATAAATACCGTATAGTGGAAATTCTAGAGGGAGTTAAATTTGTCAAATTTGAGTGTTTTGATAGCCATTTGCCAAAATAGAAATCCACCATTTTGAGCCATTTTGTGCATGCTCAATGGCACGTAGCCACAAATTTGCCAAATTAAAATTTACCAGCCACCAAATTTTAGCAATTTGCCAAATTTAACTCCCTCCAAAATTTTCCACTATACGTTATCTAATCCTACTACACTGTATAGGGGTATTATCCTATAGCTACACCAGATGTCATTAGAACACACGTGGCTGTGAGTTTGGCAATGAAATAACGAAAGAATTGTCATAGCTTTACTTGCTCATAGGATAGGTGTGGCTATCAAGCTCGTAGTGGTGAAAACCAGTATTATTTACTTGCTAATGAGGATAAGTGTTTGAGTGGGACTGCTGAAATCCCACTAGCAGGTTAGAGCTGATCAAAACCCTGTTAATAGTAAGCATCTTTTATTTGGTTTAGGAATGTATCTTAACAAAAATGTATTATACAGTGATCTACCAATAAAGTAAGTCATAGTATTACCGTATAGCTAGAAATTTTGGAGGGGCTAAAATTTGGCGAAATTGCTAAATTCTGATGATTGGCGAATTTATAGCCATGTGCCAGTATAATGGCTCAAAATGGCGGGTTTTATTTTTGCCAAATTTAATTCCCTCTAAAATTTCCCGTTATACGGTACATTATTTAATGTAATAGTGTTGTATTATTATTATCATTTTAGGCTTGTTGCTTTTGGTAGATGCTTTAGAGTTGAAACTGGTAAGCTAATATCTATTATTACATGTATATCATTATGCTATAATAATAATTATTATATTATTATCACTAATTTGTTGTTAATTGTCTCTTGCATTATGTGAAGGTGGTAGAGGTAGAGGTGAAGGAAGACTTTATAGAGTCCACCAATTTTCAAAGGTAATTGATTGCTGGTTTTTGTTTCTCTTTTATTTCTTGTCTTTTAGGTCGAGCTCTTTGGTTTAACAGCGAATGAAGACGGAACTGAGAGTGAGGAACTCCTTGATGAAATGGTGACACTCCAGAAGGAGATCAATACAGAACTGGGCCTTCATTGCAGGTAGTGTACTTGTACTTCATGGAGTGTCAGAAATCCCTGTACAGGGACTTTGACGTCAGAAATATAGTGACTTTGTCCTGATTTTGAGTAACTTAAAAAAATTGTAAAAAAATCCAAATTTGATTGGAATCAGTTCAAACTTTCTACGCAACTTAAGTACATGTATATGCATCAGAAAAAATTATAAAAATGGAGAATTTTCTCCTTTTCAATTTTGGCGAAATTTGGCCTGAGACCATGTGCTATAGTACAGGGACTTTGACCCGATTTTTGAGTAACTTTAAAAATTCATAAAAAATTCAAATTTGATCGGAATCAATTCAAACTTTCTACGCAACTTAAGTGCATGTATATGTATCAGGAAAAATTATAAAAATGTAAATTTTTCTACTTTTCAATTTTGGCGAAATTTGGCCCGAGACCATGTGCTATAATACAGGGACTTTGACTCAATTTTTGAGTAACTTTTAAAATTGGTAAAAAATTCAAATTTATTTAGAATCAGTTCAAACTTTCTACGCAACTTAAGTACTTGTATATGCATCAGAAAAAATTATAAAAATGTAGAATTTTCTCCTTTTCAATTTTGCCGAAATTTGGCCCAAGACCATGTGCTATAGTACAGGGACTTTGACCCGATTTTTGAGTAACTTTAAAAATTCATAAAAAATTCAAATTTGATCGGAATCAATTCAAACTTTCTATGCAAGTTAATTACATGTATATGCATCATAAAAAATTATAGAAATCGAAATTCTCTCCTTTTAAATTTTGGCAAAATTTGGCCTGAGAACCTGTACTTTTTTGTACAGGGACTTTGGCCCGATTTTTGAGCAAATCCAATATTGATCAAAATCAACTCAAATTTTAATGCAACTCATATAATGTACATGTGGGAATGATATTTAGA